AGTCGTCCGCTTAGTTTGAACTCACGTTCATTGTCGGTCAGTTTCTCTGACCTCGCTTGCTTCAACGCTGTTCCGCTCGATCTCCAGTGCTTGTCCCGGTCAAACCAGCTTGTGCCCGAAGGCCACGCAGTGGCCGGACCATCAGGGCGGAGGGGAACCTCAATTCTCTGGCTTTACGCCATCGAAGAGGCTACCCCTCAAAAGCCCTCTGGCCTGGAGCCTATCCCAAAGGCTCCATGGGGGCGCTCCAACCTGCTGGTGTGTGGATCGTTTCCCCACGGTCCTGGGTTCCCCACGGTCCACCATCGCTGCTCCATAAACCGGAAGTCCAAAAAATAATGTTTTTTTGTTGTTCAGTCACACAGTCGAGTCTGACTTCACGACACCATGGACCACATCATACCAGGCCTTCCTGTCTTCCGCCGTCCTCTGAAGTTTGCTCAATTTCATGTTCGTTGCATCTATGACACTGTCTAACCATCTCATCCTTTGCCGTCCCCGTCTTCTTTGACCTTCAGTCTTTCCCAGCATCAGGGTCTTCTCCAGTGAGTGCTCCCTTCTCATTCGGTGGCCAAAGTATTTGAGCTTCAGTTTCATTATCTGGCCTTCTAGGGAACAGTCAGGGTTGATTTCTTGTAGGATTGACTGATTTGATCTTCTTGCAGTCCAAGAGACTCTCAAGAGTCTTCTCCAGCACCATAGTTCAAAAGAATCTATTCTTCGGCGCTCGGCCTTCCTTATAGTCCAACTCTCGCAGCCGTACATGACTACGGGGAATAAAACAGTATAGCAGTTGCTGCTGTTTTTTTTTTTTTTAAAGTTCATGTTGGGTCAGAAGCAAACAACCAGTTTAAATCCAGTTTCCTGTCTCAGCCCAGTTCCATTCTTGTTTTTGCCTGGCCACGAGCCCATCTGTATCCTGCAGGTGTTCTGCTCATAGATGAGGGATTCTTTCTGGATGGTCCTCAGGCGGTGGGAAAACCCTGCAGCAGTCTCAAATCTCTGTTCAGCAACACCACCCTTTCCCCTTGCCACCCAGCATTACCCAAAACCAATCCAGATTGTCACCCATTGCCACCAGCAACTGCAAGAGTATCTCCTGCTAAACCGAATTGTAGTGGTTAAGTGCGCGGACTCTAATCTCTTTCCCAGTGTGTTTTTTTCAAATTATCTCTCTACTCCCCTACACTTGGGCTTCTTCTGGGTGGTTGGCTCTGCCAGTCTGGTGTAGTGGTTAAGTGCGCGGACTCTAATCTGGGGGAACCGGGTTTGATTCCCCACTCCACCACTTGCACCTGCTGGATGACCTTGGGCAAGCCATAGTTCTGATAAGAGCTGTCCTTGAAAAAGAGCAGTTTCTGTCAGAGCTCTCTCAGCCCACCTACCTCCCAGGGTGTCTGTTGTGGGGAGGGGAAGGGAAAGGAGTTTGTAAGCCACTCTGAGACTCCTTTGGGTAGTGAAGGGCCCCGGGGTATAAATCCAATCTCCTCTTCTTCTTCTCTTCTCTCTCCTGCAGCAGCCATTTTGTGACTGCGCCCACCACATTGTGTCAGAATTCCAAAGGTACCCACAGGCCCCAAAAGGTCAGGGACCCCCTGTTTTAGATCCAACCAGGCGGTTACTTCTTTCTGTCACACACCTCTTTCCACCGGATCGAAGAAGTACCCGCTTTCCCGAAGGCTACCGAAGACGGAGGGAATGAGGTCAGACAGGTACCGCTGAGCAAACGCCCGAGCTGCGATTTTCTCAGAGGTCTCCTTCTCCTTCTGCAGGAATTCCAGCTGCTGTTTCTTACGGCGGTTCTGTGAAGGAGAACAGCACGGGGTGCCTTTTGCTCCAGAACAATGGTCGGTGTCAACACTTCCACCTCCCCCAGGCCCGCAAACAAGGGGGAGCCCATGCAAGCCTGGTCTAAAGTTCCTGACTTGGATTCCAAAGATCTTCTCCGCTTGCTGCAGCTTGAAGATCATAAGAACAGAAGAGAGGACACTGTTGGATCAGGCCAATGGCCCATCTAGTCCAACACACAGTGGCCAACAATACCAGGTGCCATCAGGGGGTCCAGCAGTGGGGCCAGGACACTAGAAGCCCCCCCACTGTTGCCCCCCCCAAGCACCAAGAATACAGAGCATCCCTTGCCCCTGACCAAGAGCCCCTATCTATAGTAAAGGTAAAGGTTCCCTTGCTCAAAAGCCAGTCGAATCCGACTCTAGGGTTGCGGTGCTCATCTCCGTTTCAAAGCCGAAGAGCCAGCGCTGTCCAAAGACGTTTCCGTGGTCATGTGGCCGGCATGACTAAACACCAAGGCGCACGGAACGCTGTTACCTTCCCACCAAAGTGGTACCTATTTATCTACTTGCAATTTCTTGCTTTCGAACTGCTAGGTTGGCAGGAGCTGGAACCAGAGACGGGAGCTCACTCAGTCATGTGGCACTCGGGTCTCGAACTGCTGAACTACCAACCTTCCACAGCCTGTTCCATGCTTGTAGCCGCCGCCACCTCCTGTGGCAGTGAATCCCATGTGTTAAATCACTCTTTGGGTGAAGAAGGACTTCCTTTTATCTGTTCTAACCCGACTGCTCAGCAATTTCATGGAGTGCCCACGAGTTCTTGAGAAAAGGACTTCTTTCCTCACCCGGTTCTTGGCCGCTGTGTGGCAGAGAGTGTTGGACTGGATGGGCCGTTATCGGCCTGATCCATCAAGGCTTCTCTTATGTTCATGCATCAGGGGAAGGCTCCTTGTACCGGAGAATGGTGCTACTGCTAGCAAAATGGATCTGTGGGATCTAACCCATTTCCCAAGGCTGCAGGTAGAATCCCAAAACTTGTTCAAAGTACAGGAGAGAGGAGCTTCCCTCGAGACCAGGAGTCATTTCCTGCGGGAGCGCACAGGAGCTAAGCTCCGGCAGTAAGGAGCCCAGAGGGCGGGCACATGCAACAAGCCCCGCCCCCTGCTCCCAACAGCCCTCAGTTGGGCCACGAGGAGCAAGAAGCAGCCAGGTAAGTTGCAGAGCCCCCCCCCCTCAGCCCGCCTTCAGGTATCAGCTCTCCCTCCTCTGTGAGGGTAGATCTGCGCGTTCCCCTCCTCCCCATAGCTAGCAATCCAAAACAATGGAATTGCTCAGTTGCCTTTTTACAATAGGCTGACTTTTCTAATCAGATTAATCTGATTAACCTGCTACCCTGAGTAGAGCAGCAACTCAGCTAACTCTCCACCAGGTTGGAACCGCCGCTACCTTCTCCTCCCGGTGACGTCTTTCCTGCTCCTCCAGGCGCTGCACCTCCGCAAGCTCGGCGCGGCGCAGTTCATGAAAGGCGTACTGGTGGGCCCGCAGGTTGCTCAGCTCCTCCTCCTCCATGACTTCCAGCAGAGCCTGCTCGATGGTCTTCCCGACCAGGACTTCAAGCATCGGCTTGACTTCAATGTCGAAATCAAACAGCTGAGAAAGAAAGGAAGGGGGGAGGGGAGTGGAAGCATGCCAGTCGATAGCCCTGACGTGGAAGGCCCGGGCCGATCCCGCCTCATCGGATCTTGGAACCCAAGCAGGGTCCGCCGAGGAAGTCCAGGGTTGCTACACGGAGGCAGGCAATGGCAATTCAACGCTGAATGTCAGCCGGTTTGGTGGAGTGGGTTAAGTGCGCGGACTCTAATCTGGGAGAACCGGGTTTGATTCCCCACTCCTCCACTTGCACCTGCTGGATGACCTTGGGCAAGCCATAGTTCTGATAAGAGCTGTCCTTGAAAAAGAGCTGCTTCTGTCAAGAGCTCTCTCAGCCCCACCTACCTCCCAGGGTGTCTGTTGTGGGGAGGGGAAGGGAAAGGAGTTTGTAAGCCGCTCTGAGACCCCTTTGGGTAGTGAAGGGCCCTGGGGTATAAATCCAATCTCCTCCTTCTCCTCCTCCTCTTCTTCTTCTTCCTCCTCCTCCTTTTGTATATTATCCATTTTCAATGTGTGGGGATAGATGATAGATAGATAGATAGATAGATAGATAGATAGATAGATAGATAGATAGATACAGATAGATAGATACAGATAGATAGATAGATAGATAGATAGATAGATAGATAGATAGATAGATAGATAGATAGATATAGATAGATAGATAGATAGATAGATAGATAGATAGATAGATAGATAGATAGATAGATATAGATAGATAGATAGATAGATAGATAGATAGATAGATAGATAGATAGATAGATAGATATAGATAGATAGACAGACAGACAGACGGACGGACGGACGGATAGATATAGATCCACTGGTCAGCCTTGTTGGCCTGAAGCAGCAGAACAAAGTTAAGAGTTTAGTGGCACCTTTAAGACCAATAAAGTTTTATTCAAGGTATGAGCTTTTGTGTGCACACACACTTCCTCAGATACAATGAAATGGAAGGTAATAGTTCATCGATATATAGAGAGGGTGAACAGTAAACGGTGTAAAGTAAAAGGATACTTTTACACAAAAAGTCTCCTGTTCTGACATATTTGCTGTGTTTTCCTGTAATTAAATCCAAACGAACTTAACTCGTAACTGTTTAGTTTTTGCATCTGTTAAAACATCGCCATTATGCCGTATGCGAATTTACTCACACCTTGAATAAAACTCTGTTGTTCTTAAAGTTGCCACTGAACTCAGGGGGGGGGGGGAGAGAGAGAGAGAGAGAGAGAGAGAGAGAGAGAGAGAGAGAGAGAGAGAGAGAACAGCATTCAGATTCCCTGAATGTAGAAAATTCAGAACGTCTAGAATTCCTTGAATGTAGAAAACTAGCGTAACCCTTACACACAGATCTAGAGGAGTCCCCAACATGGTGCCAATGGCGGCCATGGTGCCCACTAACACCTTTTCCAACGCCAGCCAATGTTTTTAGGAGGTGGATGGGGCCAGGTAGAGCTTTTGCCTAGCAAGGCTTCTGATTGGTCATTGGCTCTAGTATATCAGAGACAAGGGCTCCAGCACAGTCTTCTCCCTGGTGTGGTTATTATCTGGAGGAGTTTGGGTGTGCATCTGTTGCCTTCTGACCTCAACTGCCAGAATTTCCTATCGGGATCAGCCCAAGGGAGGGATCCTCTCCCAAGATGCCGCTGTTTTGGAATCCTCCCCCCTCCCTGCCCCGGATTGTAATACCTCTCCTTCCAATATTTGCGTGGCCACATCTCGACCGGACTTCGCGGGAATGAAGAGGGGTGTCGCCGGTCGGTCCAAGAACTCATCCGTTTGACATTCCACATCAACTTCCACAATACGGTCAGCGAGCTCTTCCAGGTATAATTCTGAAAAGGTGGCACAACACCATTTTGCATATTTTGGCTTCCTCTGTTGGCTCTGCACACATGACACCATAAGCGGATTCAACTCAACAGGGGTCTCGATCCTGTGACACCCTTCCCCTGTCGCGGCCTATGGCCCCCTTCCACCAAGCCCTTCTCCCTTCCTTTGACAACGAATGATTTTTTTTCTCCGTCCAGAGAAGCCTTTCTCCACTGGAAGAAAGTAATGGGATCCAGCCCCAATATCTGTCAAACTCAGAAACAATTTCTTAGCTCTCTCACATACGACAAAGTGAGAGAGTTAGTGAGACAGAGAATCCAGGACATAGCTAGACAGGAGGATCTTAATAACTCATGCAAATAGCGAGCCCTCTTGGAACCATTGTATAAGGTAGTGCCTAGGCCCTATCTTTTTCATCTAGAAAATCATGAGTTAAGGAGAATGTTTACCCTCATGAGGTGGGATGCCCTCTCTTCTGCGGTTACAGAGGGGAGGTTTAATTAAAAAAAAACCACCTTGCTGATCGTATATGTCGCTGCTGCAATGACGGAATTGAAACCTTAATGCCTGTTATATAGGACTGCAGGGCATGTAGGCACTTTCGTGATATTCTCCCACTCTCTACAACTACTCTATCCTCAACTAGTCAAAAGAGGCAAGTGCTGAAGAACCTCCTAGAAAGTAGGTGCCCCAAGGTTACAGCTAAACTTGCCAAATTTGGCTGGTTAGCTATAAGGACTAGAAAGCTCGTAGTGAAAGATGAACAGATGTACTTTGTTACAGGACTTAGCAGGTTTTACATGCATGCTCTATTTGATATACATTTTATATATTTCATTTATGCTTGTGGGTATATGAATTTAGTTTGAGTTAGTTTGTTGTATCAGAGTGCTGGCTTTTTGCTGTGAATAAATTTGTTGTTGTTGTTGTAGTCAAACTCAGGCATCTGGCATAAAGACAGGCTGGTTGTATTAACTGCATTGTCCGTTCTTAATTCTCACTGCTTGTATTCTGTATTCTTATCGCTGCCCTTGTTTGCCATTGAATTTTTTTTGGGGGGGAGTGTGTGTAGTTTGCTAGGGAGGCTTGCTTGGTAATTTTCCTAAGTGGGCCCCAAGACATCTTTCACACGAGAAATGTCCATGGAGAAGACTGTGCCTGGCTAGATACTGGCTGTATATCGTCCAGAGTCACTGTAGTAACACTGACGTAGGAGTGCATGGAATTTTGGGGTTTTACCTATATGTTGGTTTTCCCGCCTTTGCAACTCAGTCCTGACAAAGAGTTTGAACCCACAGCATCTCATAGCTCTAAATAAAGCATTCACTGCCTAAGTGTGTGTGGAGAGTGATTTGACTGGGAACCTGACAAGATCTGCTCATTCCAACTATTCACAGTGTGCAACACCGTGTTGGCCATGGAACGGGAAGGCCGAGGTAGCCCCAGAAAGGGGGTAAAAACTGGGCATTTGTCGGCAGGCCCCATCGCCAGGATTTTTTCACTTGTGGGGCAGACATGGCACCGAACAAAAAATAAACTAAACATGAATTGCAGCTCTTCAAACTGCATGAATTGTAGCTGCTCATTTCTTGCCTTGAAAACCTCCTTGGGGGTTGCTAGGGCTATTTTTGGGCAGGAACACACAGGAACGGAGTTCTGGCTGTCTTCAGAGCTGGCCAGGCCCACTACAGCCAAAACCTCTGCGTGCCTGGCTACAGAGGGAAGGCCTGGAGAGCGACCCCACCCCCCCAGCGACTCCGAGGTGGGCAGGCCCTGGAAGAATTGGGGAGGCATGTTTAGCTGAATAGTATGAGTAGTCTCTCTCTGTGGGGTGACAGGTTCTCCAAGCATCCGTTAGATCAAAAGTGTCAGAAAGTTTTGCCAGACTAGTGCTGGAGGTCTTTTGGTTTCGCTTCTTATTTTGGGCATGAGATCTGTCTAGTGCGGAGGAGCCCACCAGGGAATCAGTTCAGGGGCCCAGGCGCTGGGGCAGGGGCAGCGGCCCTGAAGCTTCTGGTCAGTTTCATTCTGGGACCAATAGCTGTTAGGCTTTAAGGGCTGTTCATGCCCAGGTGAAACTGACCAAAAGTGGCAGGGGGAGCTTTCCTGTCCTTCCCTAGCATCCCCCCTCCCCCAGCTTCTGGTCAGTTTCGCCCCCTGGATGAACAGCTGGTCTATGGGGAGTGAAACTGACCAGAAGCTGCAGGACTGCTTCCCTTTCTTTCCCCAGCCTTGCCACCGCTGCGGGGCTAGGTGCACTGGGGGTGGGGGTGTCTGGCATCCTCAGGTGGGGGGGCGGGGCTCCTGGGCAATGTTCCCTCTAAGCTGAGTTAGTGTGAGCTAGCTCAGTTTTCTAGCCTCCAGCTCACACATTTTTTGCCTTAGCTCAGGAAGGAGGGCTCCAGAGCAAACTAACTTATGCAGTAGCCAAATCGCTCGCTCACAACTTTAATGCCGGTAGCTCACAAAAGTAGAATTTTTGCTCACAAGACTCTGCAGCTTAGAGGGAACAGTCCTGGGTGGTGGGGATCTGCCCCCAAATGCCCCGCCATGGCTACAGGCCTGTTTGTCAGGGCCCTGAGACCGACTGCAAGCACTACTTGCTCTTGCTTTTGATGGGTCATGCGGGAAGCATTGAGTGGATTCTTGGCTCATGCGGTGCACCTCTGCCAACTTCAACTGGATTCATCAAAAGTGGCTTGCACAAGATTGACCCCAAATCCTGGAAATGACACAGTTCCCACATATGTCACTATGAGCTGCTTGGGGGGTGGGGTGGGGAATGGAAGGGCTGAATTGCAATGTGTGATATGTGATATGTGTATTCAGGGGTCATTTCGTAGAAAAAGAGGTGCAGGAGCTCATTAGCATAACTCATTAGCATAACTTATTTGCATATGCCACACCCCCTGACATCACCAGAAGTGTGTCAGAAGGCAACACCCACTGCTCAGGCTCCACTGGACTGTTTTGGATTGCTAGCTATTGGAGGAGGGGAGGAACGTGCAGATCTGCCCTCACAGAGGAGGGAGAGCTTGTACCTGAATAAAACTTGGTCTTAAAGGTACCACTGGACTGTTTTGGACTGGGGGGAGCTCTGCAACTTACCTGGCTGCTTCTTGCTCTGACTGAGGGCTGCTGGGAGCAGGGGGTGGGGCTTGTTGCATGTGCCCGCCCCCTGGGCTCTTTATTGCCGGAGCTCCGCTCCTGTGCGCTCCTGCAGGAAATGACCCCTGTGTGTATCTCCCCCCTCTTTACATTGAAGAGATGGAAGCACCATCAGGACATCTTAAAGACATTCCAGCGTGGCTCATTATGAACAGAAGCCTTGCTACTGCGGATTAGTCACCCACCCACCCTTCACTGGCCAATTTCCACTGGACCACCCGGCACTTCCTGATCACTGGAACCCTTGCAAAGAATATTGGACCAAGTTTGGGCTTTACCTGATCTAGCCAGAGCAGGCTTATCCGAGTGTTCAGCGTGCTTCTGGAATGAGAGCAAAGTGATCCTCGTGTCACCCTTGGAAACCGCGGTCCCGCAGACAAAAGGTGTGTAGGGGAGGAATCTGGCCCCAATCCAGATTCAGTCCTGAAGACTCACCCAGGATTACACCTGAGGCTTTCCAATGGGATAGATCCACCCACCCACCCACCAATAAGCCTTCCTCCAACAGAAGAACCGTGTAAGTTGGTGAAAGGCTTCCATGTTGAGCCAAAAGCAAAGACAGGGGGAAGAAGATGATGAAGACGAAGGAGGAGGAGGAGGAGTTGTTTTTTATACCCTACTCTTCACTACCCAAAGGAGTCTCGGACCCCGGTCACACAGCAAAGTTGCCGCGGGAGAGGCACGGGAGTCCCGCGGATTTTCCGGGCGCGATCTCACCTCAACATCTGGGAAGCGCAGTGCTCCCGTGGCGAACCCGTGGCGCCCCACCGAAGGTGCAGAGTTAAAAACTAGTACCTATGAGGTACTAGTTTCCGGAAACTGCAGGGCAAGGGCGGGCGTCTGACCGCGTTTCCGGTGGACTTCCATGGCATCCGGCGCCCGCCCATGTCCCATTGCAAAGAAGGGTTTTTTCCCCCCAAGTCTCCACAGGATATGCACAAGTACCCAACGGAGCATGCACACAAACAAGAAGCGGCATTTGCCAGAGGAGCCGCGCGGTGCAAGTGCCGGTTTGAACGCGCCGTGCTGCTTCTTTGCTGCGCTGTGGACTAGCCGTCTGATCTGCGCCTACCCACGGGACCTCAAAAGGACTTCTGATCGGGTTGCCGCACGTTATTTTCCTCCGGGGCAATTAGCCATGCCTCCCCCCCCGCATTTTCCGGCCCGTGTGACTGGGGCCTCAGAGAGGCTTACAATCGCCTTCCCTTCCTCTCCCCGCAACAGAGACCCTGTGAGGTAGGTAGGGCTGAGAGAGCTCTCAGAGAGCTGTGACTGACCAAGGCCACCCAACTGGCTTCGTATGGAGGAGTGGGGGAATCAAACCGGTTCTCCAGATTAGAGTCCACCACTCTTACCTACCAGACCACGCTGGCTCTAAATAGATAAATGAACTTTGCTCAGTGCATCGGGGTAGGGGATCCGGCCCATCGCCTGTACCTACCCGTCTGCACGCTAATATGACGCCTGCCCTCCAAAGGGTCCGGGGTTCTCGTCTGCAGCTGATCTCTGGCACGTTTCCGAGTCAGGGCTTTGCGGTGGGCCTCCCGCTGCCTCTGGAGCTCCACGGGGTCGGGGTCGCCACTCTGGAAAGAGATGCAAGGTGGGGGCGGGGGAACTGCATTCATTCATTTCTCGCCCACCTTTTCAGGTTCTGGTAAACTCTCAACAGCCGATGAGGCAATGCCCGGTTAAGTGTGGTGTCCGCCAGTGTTCCCTCTAAGCTGAGTTAGTGTGAGCTAGCACAGTTTTTTAGCCTCCAGCTCAAAATTTTTTGTCTCAGCTCAGGAAGGAGGGCTCCAGAGCAAACTCATTTATGCAGCAGCCAAATTGCTCACTCACAACTTTGATGCCTGTAGCTGGCAAAGCAGAATTTTTGCTCACAAGACTGCACAGCTTAGAGGGAACATAAATCTACTGCTTCAAAAACATCCACTCACCGTTTTATTTCTTCATACCATGTAAATTTATTATTTATTTATGTATTTATTGAATTTCTACCCCGCCCACCTGCCGAGGCGGCTCAGGGCAGCTTACAAGGAATTTAAAACCAACATTCGGTTAAAACCAACAATTACAAAATATAAAATACATTTCCATAAAATCCCAGCTAATACATCC